TGGTTAAAAATTGATACTTTAATTTGCACTGACGGCAGGCAACAGAGATATCTGGCACAGGAATAAATAAGTATCACAGTAAAATAAATACAGTATTTAAAAAAGGAAACAAAAAACAGTAAATAAATCATAATCAATAACATAATCAATAATAATCAAATAATAATGATCAATAACATTATTCACCTCAGGGTATGGTTTTTTCTTTGTACGTGTAATTTTAGTATATGCTCAAAACAGATCGCCCATCAAATAGCAACTCCACTTTTCAACCCTATAAATAACTATATTGATTTATCTGTTACACTTCAAAAGCTGGCAAAGCTGTGGCTTCTGGAATTGCATAGCACTTTAATGCACTAAGGGTTTAATAACTATGATTTACTCATGTTAGTCTGTTGGACTAACAATGAGGTCCATCTTACCTTATCATATACTTCTGTTGATTTGATAGTGATGATATTGCATAGACTCATGTCAATACTACCTTGTTTTGGTAATAAATCAATTGCTCTCATATATTCATGCATTCATAGCTTAAGTGTTATGTTTTTTTTTTTCTAAACCTCTCTAAAAAGGTCAAATGTCACTTGTTTTGCATCAATCTTGATACAGGGTACTTATTATATGTTATAGTTTGGATTCCTAAAGCTTTGTGTTTACTATCCCATGATTCAAGGATGGTTTTCACTGTAAGTAATGGTTTATTTTTGGAAGGACACTGCTGTATCACTTAAATTGTTTTACTATGTTCAATCTGAATTTACTTTAAAATAAAAACATCTATATTGATTCTGACTTGTCTACATCCAACTCACAGGTGTATCATTGCTTTGAGAAACAAGATTATTAATTCACCCCTTTTAGAAGTGAAGATATAGTCATTTTGTTCTGGGCATGTCATTTTCGAGCCTGAAACCTGAAAATCAGGCGTGGGGTTTAACAGGTTAAAGGAATGTGATCTGTGCTGAAGCAACACAGCACAGTAGATGTTGTGTAGGTGTCATGGAGGTGGATGGGTATGAAGCTTATTTGGCTTTCATGCAATTATCACATACAGATAATTTGCCTTTTTATCAACTGCAACCAAAATCTTTCCTAACCCCTTTTCTTAACCTTGATGGGTTATCAATACAACAGTCACCATGTTCAATTACTGTAGAAAACAAATACAATTGCTTGTTTAAAAAAAGAAAATGTGTGTAATATGGGACTTTCTCTATTCTGATCTCAATATTATTTGGTCGTGGATCATATTTGAACTGTTTAAAAGGGAAAATACTGCCAGAAAACCTGGAGAATTAGCATAATGTTGATACTGTTTTTCTGCTGACTATTGCAGGTATTGAAGTCCCTAACTCCTCCACCTTAAATCCACAGAGTTGACATGCAAATATTGATCAGATTGCCTCGAGATGAGTGGTTGAGCCCATTAAACCCTATTACAGACCACATCCCATTATGTACATTCAACTAGTGATGTAATACTTATTATATATTGTTTTTTTAATGTAATTGTTTCCACGTTGTTCCTCTAAAGAAATGCAACATGGCAAATAGAAATGTAAGTTTAACTTAAAAATCAGCTAAACACTTTTTCTGATAAAAACAAAAAACAAGCTAGAAATGCCAGATATTGAATAAATGGCAAGGCAAGCTAATGAGAGCTCCTGTAGCTCAGTTATTAGCCCATCAATTGAGGTTTGAAAATGATCAAATCTACATGACCGTTGTATATAATTATAACAATAATGGTAATTTTTCCTTTTGTTTTCGGTTCAGCCTTCAACAATTCAGGACAAAAATACCTGCAATGTTTGTCTTGGCCAAAAATGACCTCATCCTGATCCTGAGATATCCAAAGCATGTTTTAAGAATTCTCATGTTCCGACTTTATTTTGAAAAAGGTTTCTATGGTAACAAACCCTACTCCTGTTCCTGGAATCAGAATAGCTTGTGCCTTCTCCCTTTACGTTTTTTAAGCATTACTCTAATATATTTGCTTTAGCATTATCTAAAGCCCGTCATTTCCCTTGATTTGGCTTAATTGAGTCATGTTTATATATATGATATGTTCAACTTAAAGCAACTTAAAGCACTTCTGAATGACCTCAGAAGACCATGGAGCCTGACACACTAATCATTGTAAACAAATGAAAAAAGAAGCACGTGCTACAAAAAAAGCCCAATGATTACCGTACATAAGCCCTAACAGAGAATAGGCATACATTGTCAAATCTAGAAATATAATGCCTTTATTTACAAAAAAATATGTTACACCACATCCATAGCTGCCATCAGACCTGCTTTAGCCCCCAACCTTTTTTGGATTATTTTACACCGGGGAAGAGCTAATAAAGAACAAGCACTACAACCACCTTGCACCTAAATGTTGCAATCTGTGCATCTTGTTTTATCATGGCTGTTTTTGGACTACTTTTTTTTAAACTATGACATGTAATCAACAGTGCAAGTCTAACAGAGATTAAGTGCTTTTTACTAAAAAAACATAACAGGTGACAACAAAATAGAGCATGTTTCTAAGACTTAAATGGTCTCCACTTATATAGCGCTGTATCCAGTCTTTAAGACCCCTCAAAGCGCTTTACATACTACATGTCACTCACCCATTCACACCCATTCATACAGAGCAGTGTACCCTACTCTAGGACCTAACATTCACACACTGTTGGCCATACCATTGGGAGCAACTTCAGGGTTAAGTATCTTGCCCAAGGATACATCGCCATGTTGACTGCATGGGCTGGGATCGAACCCAAAACCTTCTGGTTGAAAGAGGACCGCACTCCCTCACAGCCACAGTCGCCCTATCTTACATTTTGTCTTCCCTTTGTATCAGTATTCACTTAGTAACTGATTCGACAAAGTTGTTGGAAATGAGCCATGTGTTGCACGCCCTGTCATCCTGTCTGTAATGAATGCATCTGTCAAATCATCTCTCTGGGCCATATTTTGACTGATGGCTGCTCTCAGGATTCCCAAAAGCAAAAACCGCCTCACATATTTTTGCTCTCTTTCTCTCCTTGCCTCTCTCTGCTCTGGGACTTTGAAATCGTTTCCATTGTTGCCATTAGTTTGTTGATTAGTACAGCTGTTTTTAATTGTTGAGGGTTATCATGTTAAGATGGAACATATGGCTCAAAACTTGTCAGATGTAACTCATTGTTGAGATTAACAATTCAACATTAGCTTTGAATCCCTTTGATACTTTCCTGCAAAACGTTTGTTTGCATGAAAGCTTCATTAGCTATATTATTGTAAATTCCCTGTTATCTTAGTTGACCAAAATTACACAGGCAGTTTAGAGCCAGAACGTGCAAGCTAGACTAATCCAAATGTATAATTAAACCCTTCCTCTTAAGTAGAGTGACTACGTGATTTATATACGCAAGATAGCCACAGAAAGAACATCATTAAAGGCATGCTAAATGCTGTTCTGTATCTGTCCATCATATTAATTGTGTAAGGTTAAACAGCTAATTTTGGCTTTTAAATTGACCAATCAAGTGGGTAATGCTTGCCTTCTCACACAAAGCTATTTCCAGACAGCATATATATATATATATATATGGCGAGATTTCTGCATTTATTATAATGTTTGCCTTTAATGACAATGTCTGATCTTGTCATCATATTCCAGCTAGAGCTACAGCTACAATTCCACAATTCCAGTACTTGATACAAATACCAAGAGTTCCAAATGTGTGTATATATTTTGTTAGTGGTTAGTTGAGCAACCTTGAATATGTTTTTGACTTACAGTAAGGTGAGGTCCTAAGCATGAAAGAGGCTGGAAGACACTTTCCTAAAGAATTGGTCGCAGAGTGAGAATGGAGCCGCCCTGAAGGTTAAGAAGGGAGTATCACTGATACATCACCACCCAGTGAATGCTCTGCTCCCCCTATTAGTATTAAACAGTCCAATAATCCCTGGCTTTGGTCCCTGAAGTAAGCATGGCTGCCAGGGTTCTGCCTGCCACCACAAACACAGATTTTGGTAACAGCACACTCGATTACGTATTTTGATTAGATTATGAAACCCCCATCATTATTCAGATAACTGAGGTGAATGCAGGTGAACAGCCAGTGTGTCCTGAACAATGTCTTCCAGCGCCAGTTCTCTATAAACTCTTTAATGCATAATCCTAACATGTGCAACCTCTTCTTGTTTCTGAAACTAGATTCCCCTGGCTGGTGTTTTATTTTGCAGGACACATTCAATAAAGGCTCAGAGATGCTGTATCTAATGCGTTTTTCCTTAGACCGCTGATGATAAGTCAGTCCCTCTTCACCCCTTTCATTTCTCCACTCTCCTCTCACTAATCATCTTCCCATGCTCCCCGATATATATCATATATGAGAGCTATTACTTAAATTTGGATTTGCTCAGGCTGTTTCCCTTCAGCCGTGACTCCGGACGTTTATGCTGTGATTGCTCTTGACATTTTAATAAGAAACTTTCCTGTGCTGACCCCAAGGTACCAACAGCCATGTGTTATGAATCACAAGTGAAACATAAGCTGTCTGCAACTGTAAACAGACCAAAATCCAGCATACCTTCATATTCATGGTAACACCTTTACATGTTGAATTGTAAATAAGTCATACCTTAATGTGTCTACACAGGATAATTAACTTGATACGCTGCAATGCTATGAATATGAATTGATTTGTTTGTTTTTGAGTCATAGACTGATCATAAGGGTTGTTTGCCACTGACTGAGCAGGTGTCTAATCCCACAAAATCCAAACATGTTCCCAATTAATAAGCAAATACGCCAAATTAATGCTAATCTCATCTTTGAAGCCCTCCCACTTATCATCGAGAAACACAGATATTTGTCTGTAGATCTTTGTTATGCATATGCATCATCTTGTTAGCCACTTCACTTTCAGGTGGGATTTGCTGGCAGTAATCTTAGATCAGTCCCCCCTTTGGCTTGCGAAAATAAAATAAAAAGCTAATAGATAAGAGGCAAGATGGAGGGAGGAGTGCAGGTACAATTAAATGTGATGTATTAATTGCATCACAGATATCTTTGGTTGATTGAACCATGCATATTGGCATACCATTGGCATTGATTATGTAACTATTGATCTTCACTGTATGCCAAATGAAATTGTCCACAAAAGTATCCATTTTATCCAGGTTTGAATGTTTCAACATCTCATTGCAAATCTCTTGACATTAATAGGGTACCTTTAACATGATCTTTCTTGAGAGCCTTTGCAAGGTTTTTCAAAGATGTTCTCCCATTCAGCCAAAGCATTGTAAGGTTCAGCATTAATGTTGGAAAGGCATTTTTTTTATTTGGATCGGTCATCCAATTCATTTTAGGTGTCGGTTGGGGTCAGGGCTTTGTCCGGGCAAGGGAACTCAGAAAACCATTTCTTCATGCATGAAACATCCATTTTGATTTTGATCAACACCATGTCATGGACCTCAATATATGCATGCAGCTTTGGGCGTGGCATTGCATTAGTATCACAGAAAGCGATATCCTAATTCAATTAAGTGGCTCTTCAAAATATGAAAGCAGCTTAAATGTGTCCAAGAATGTATACAGCTTTATAGTGTATTTTTCTGTGCCTATCCATCTGTCTGACAGCAGTCCTAGTTCACTACTATGCTTTTTTATTTGTTATTTGTCTCTTCAGCCTTTGTGCTTCCAATATCATTTCTGTAAAAACAATATGTATGGCGTGGTATAAAACCAAGGGTACAATTTCAAAACTCAAAAACTCTCCAATCTTAATATGTAAAACAAAAACCTGATGCATTCAGAGCTCCAATCAATGTGGCACCGCACGAATGGGGGGAAAAAGAGCCGCCCTACTCTCTTATAATGAGCAGAGCCTGTGCTATCTATCGGAATTCCAGTTCTATTTCCTTTAAGTGTTAGCGAAATACAGAGGGAGTGTTAGAGGAGAGATGGTGGGGGTGGAGCAAAGAGGGAGGTGAAATCTGAAAGATTGAAGATGGATTTCTGTGGGAGAGGTGTGTGGGCATTAGAATGCTGATGGTGCAGGAGAGGCTCTTTCTTGGGAAATCACTCGTCTGCCTCAGTTTTTCTCTCAAACCAACCGTCAGAATCATTTTCACTGTTGGGCATTTATGAGTATCCTGAGGCCCTAGCACTCTTACACTTGCCATGAATATGCGCGTGTACGTGCCACCAACTGGTGATTGATCTTCAGCAACAACAAAAACAAGTATTTCTACACAGAAGATGTCCAACAAAAGTGTTCCACTAATCAGTCGCTTCTAATTAGGCCTCAGTTAAAAATGTAAATGTGAATCTTAATCCTACCTTACACCAACAACTGTCTGGTCAACCAGGTATTTTATGGTTTTCTTAAAACATACATAGAGAGGTGTTGTAACACCTTGTAAAATAAGCTTTGGTAATACTATGTTTTTGATATGGTCATGCTCATTTCAATTGGAATGTTATTTTGTGATTTTAGGCTTTCATACTCTAATGATTAGCGTCTCTACTATTATTCCGATTTTCACACATACCATAGTTTTGGTGATCATATGATGGGAAAAACATGACCCAAACATGTTCTGTGTCCCATTATTCACAGATTTTCTGGTAGTGTGAAATAAACAAATGTAGTTTTGTCTGATAGAATATGCTAAAAAAGTGACAGACATCAGAAGCACTGCATTGTTTATTGAATTCCTTATCCAAACATTCCTTCCAGCTCTTTAATTGTGTTTCTCCAACTTAGTATGCATATTTACACCTTTGCGTCTACTTAAATGTGTCACTCTCCTAATGTGAACACTTCACACTCTAAACCTGGTTAGAATAAGTATTAATTCATGACACATTGATAGGTTGTGGGTAAAGCAATCATTGTTGCTCTCTCCATTCCTCTGCATTACTGTATTTACCACAGTGAGAGAACATTGTTTAAGTGATCTGAGTGCATCTTCCCTGAATCCCCACCCTTCCCACCAAGTGACAGGATAGCAAGGTAACACAATTACACTGATGCAAGTCTGCTGAGTCAAAGGATGCAACATACACAAGTAACATGTCTATCGGTCTTTGAGTAAAGTCTCATGTTTTATCATTCAATCAATCTCAATACGCATCTCATCAAATCAGTGATCGAAGATTATAGAGATCCGGATAAAGTAGTGCTTACAGAGAGAGAGTGGGCTTCAGGTTGTGTACAGCATTCACAGACCTGTCATGTCCACTAGACGGGCCAAATCTATTCTCTTTCCAGAGGCAATAGTGATGGATTATTTGCCCTTAGGAACCCATAACTCACTATTATTCTCTTCCACTCTGTGGACTTGCAATTAAGCTTATAATTGATGCAGGTTATTTAAGTGTGATTGACAGGCTTGGATATATATTTTTTGTTTGTTTAATTAGTTTTCTCTCCTCAGTCAAAGCTATGAGCCTTCATTAACATCTCTCTTGCTGCTTAAACATTTAATTCAAAACATGTGGTCACATTGTTTGCTTTACATCTAATCATAGAAGATGTCTTGAAAAGTCAAACACATTTGTCACACATGTTGTTAATTAGACCCTTTTCACTTTAATGACTTCATTTGAATGTGTGTAGTAGAGCTCATTGAGACATTTGTATGTGCTCTGCATACTATTCGTACAGTTGTATTGTGTATTATTCATAATGGTGTTACTTAATATTGCTTTTCCTCATGATGCATATGTTAGGGGTTAAACTCTTATGTTACTGTTACAATAGCAGTGCACTGATTACAATAATGTATTAAAACCGCCTAATAAAATGTAATTTACTGTATTCTAAATATGGCATAGTATTTTCACACCCTCATAAAATTGCACTTTTAGTGGTGAATCAAAACTAATTAAATAATGGTTGCTTTTACAACCGTTAATTTCCTTATAACAATGAAATGGTGGTGCTACATGTCTGGGAATCCACCTTTTGTCTCTGGAGTGTATTTTGGTCTGTCTTATTGGTCTCATGTGACTAACTCCCTCTTTGTGTAAGATAAAGGACTTGTCTGTTGTTGTTTCTATACTGTTCCCTCTGGCAGCTCATCAGATATCCCATGGAGAAACCTCAGGCTCTTTTTACTGTCTTATAAAACAGCCAGTCCCCTTCCAGTTTGGTTCAAAAATGATCCCATAAACAAAGATATAAGTCTCAAAGTCTGCCCTAGTAAATGGCCCTATGGGAGAGATGACACCTTACAAGCAATATGCACTCCTGTCCATTGAGAGCCGGCCTCCTCTTTTTTCCTCTCCCTCTTTCTTCGCCTCTCTCTCTGTCCTTTCACCCCACTATGTTACTACATCATATTCACCCCAATGCTAAGTGATATGCAATCATTGCCAAATTTAATACAGTGAAGTCATCTGCAATAATATTAATGATATGACCTCTTCTCCATCTCTCTTCTTCTGCATTATAGTTGCGAAAGGCAGTGATGGACCACATCTCAGACTCTTTCCTGGAGACCAACGTCCCGCTGCTGGTGCTCATTGAAGCGGCCAAGAGTGGAAACGAGAAGGAGGTCAAGGAGTACGCCCAGGTGTTCCGTGAACATGCTAACAAGCTGGTGGAGGTCAGTCATACATTATACATTGGGGCACACACATATACCCATATATATTCTTACTGGCTAGCTCAGAACTTAAAGAGTAAGGTGCGAACATACGTATAAGCAATGCCGAGTAGGTCACCGTGATGCTGCCTAGAATTAAGATTATCACCAGCCCACAGAGGCTATTGTTCCTACTGAGCAATACAACTCTTCTCATTAAAAAAGAAAAGGATCATGTTGGCCTGTACTGTTGAACGCCTACATGTACATATTACAAATAGTTATATTGGCAAACATATTATTGTGTCATTTGATACTTTTAATAGAACATGCTTACTGGAAGAAAATAAAAGGAATTAAAAACGTATGTAATATACTGTAGATCAGATATGTCTGTATTATATATGTTCCCACATACACTATCAACATTCATACACCTTTTCAACCGTGCACATATTTTCTTCAAGTGCAGGAATTATGAAGCAAAAGTAATGGTGGTAACTTGATGAGATACAACTCACATCAAAACGTGTTTATCTCCATAACTGCGTGTAAATATTTGCTTCAAAAGTAACATGCTCGTTTGTAGCTCAGCTTGCACAGCTCAGCCTCTTCGAGTGGTTTTGATGCTTTTCGTGGGGTCTTTGTGTTTGGCTATGGAACTGATTCCCCCAAGTGAATGTGAAAGTCCTATTGTGTTACCTCTGTTCACATAATTACAGAGAAACCTCAAGGGTATGATTGGGAAAGATGGCCTTGCAGACCTCTCGTTTTGTTATTGCACATCTGTGCACATTAAATAATCATGTACTTCATCCTGGCGGAGGAAGGGGACATGAACGTTTGCCCATCCAGTCATCATGTGTTATGTGCACCTGAAGAGGGCTTATGTGGTTCTTTGGGTCACTTGGGCAGCAACTGTTGAAATATGAAGTGTCAGGAAGGTAACTAGTATCCACCTACCATCTGTCTAACATAATTGACAAATTACTATTGAGCCCTACTCTATGTTTTACCAGAAGAAACCTTTGTCTTTGAAAAAGGCTGTGCAGACAGTCCATGATTCAAAGGCACAAGGCCATCTTTACAGACCATACAATAAAAAGGTGATGGAGGACACATTGTTGTGATACTCTGCTCAGCTTTGAAGTCCTTTCAGCTTAAGGGATTTGACACATTTCAAGGTTAATACATGTACTATATCATAAGGAGTGTATGGTAGTTTGTTTTGCAGTCACCCCCTCTCCAGTGGGATAGAAGGAACAGTCCTGTAATAAATCCCTCTGCCCTTCAGTGGGTGTTGCTTTTTGTTCTCTTGGCCCTTTCAAAGGAGCCTTTAGAACCCTTGATGTGAGCCGTCTCTTAACATACTGTCACTTAAAACAACACTGCTACTTCCTTTGCCAACAGCTACAGAGTGAGTGACTTGGGTGACCTTTTGGTCTGCTTCAGCTGTTTGCTGATGAGGGAGGATCTAGCTGATGCTCCCCCCTTAAAATATATCGTTTGCATCCAACAATGGTAAAACTTTGTTTAGCCCAAGGACATCTTAGGCAGATACATTCTATTATTCTGATGAAGAGTAAATGGGTGGGGAGGGGGGACATTGTTTTTGCCCTGTAACTGTTTTGGTTTGTTATGTAAAGCATTTGCAACAGTGAGGTACAAAGGCGTTGTTTGCATGCTAAGGAAATATAGTATAAGCCCCAGTCCAAGCTGGAACTAGCTCATTGACTCTGCAATGGTTCATCGCAAGCTGAGTGTTAGCAGACATGAATCTATGTACAGCTATTTATGTGCAATTGTATTGTGAATTATCTTATATATCTAACAATAAGGCAACTTGTGTGTGTGTTTATTAATATCCAGCATTGTGTATTTTGCTGTTCTGTCCTCCCTGTCGTTAGTTTCCCTGTATTTAGTCTTGTCTCTTCCTGTGTTCAGTGTTGGTTCATTATTTGTCATTCATGTCTCCCTTCATGTTGGTCACAGTCCCTTTTTGTTTGGATGCTACCTTGTGCCTTTTACCTGTTCATGGATTCTTGTTTTTTCAG